GGTTTTTACACTCCTTTCCATTTCCATTGGCATGCCATTTTCACTAGCAACTCATTCCATCCCATCATCTGGTTACCGACTCTGCCTAGAACTCCATTGACAATCAGCATTGCAATAAATCATTCATGCTCAAGTGAAAAGGTCTAATACCTTGGGTACAATATGATGCGTATAACAATGGATCCATGATGAGAGCATCTCAATATAGTAAGTGTTAGTAAAGTTTGTCATAAAGAATATGTGATGATGTGATAATAAAATGTCGAGAGATAACACTATTAGGGCATGGCCAATGCTCCACTCTGAACAGGTGCCCCGGCCCTCCAAGTCGGATTTAATGGTCCAGCCTACATAAAGATGTTTGCTTGCAGAGTGAAATGAGCGCCTGCAGAGGAGGCATCCTCTTCCCTATCAAAAACAGCTTCAACTCTCTTCTGGCCAATGCCCCAACAACCTTCCTCGCTTTAGCTCGCATGCGTTTGGGGAGGGGAGAGAGAGATGATGTGAAGAAGTGGACCTAGGGAGGCTGCAGCGTTGGGTCATTCTCATCTCATACGGTGGTTTCAGTCCAAAATTTCTATGTGAAAACTCGGGCGTTTGTATAGTGATGCCCCATTGTACATGCCCTTAGTATGTGTGCAACTAAGGCCCTATTTGTTTAAGCCCAAACAAACAGGACCTCGCACAAGCTTTATCTTTTAAAGATACATCGAGAGTTGGACACATCGGTAACCGCAAGCTTTAAGATACAAACATTTTTGTAATGATTTGAGGATTGCTCATCACATCTGCCACATGGTTTTCTATTCTCGCCAAAAAAACTTATTGATTGTTGAGTGATGATATGTTTTTTTACATCAATGTGGGTGATGATATGGTTTTTTTAGGACTAAGCTAAGCTTTATTGATCATAATCCACATGAAGTGGGATACAAGTCGGATTGTGAGGGTTGGCCAACCATACATGGCGCCCCACACCGAGAAAGAGTGCATGCTTAGCTAAGCTATGAGCTTCACCGTTTGAAGAACAGTTTTCAAAAACGAAATTACGAGTAAAATCCAAAGATCTAAGTTTAATTTATGTTATCACTGAACCATAGACTCCCTGGTTCCCAAGCTTGATGTCATCAACAACCTGCTTGCAATCGGACGCGACCATTATGTTGCCCTGGAGAAGATCTTCAGCCAAAGCAAGGCCTTCTCTGCATGCTATTGCCTCCAAAGTAGCCGGGTCGGTGATTCCTGGCAAAACCAAAGCCGAACTCCCCAGATAGTTACCCACTTGGTCCCGACAAACTGCCGCCACTGCTCCATGTCGGCTGTGGAAGACCGCGCCATCAACATGTATCTTCGAGAATCCAGCGGGGGGTGCTTTTGGCCTTGCATTTGTTGCTCTGTGCACCCGAGGGGCTTCCTGCAAATTGCTGGGGGGTTTTGCATGGATGAGCTCTAATTCTTTGATGAACCTGTTCACGAAAAGAGAGGTAGCCTGTGGGCTTTGTGTTAATCCTTCATGAATGTACTTTCGCCTGGCCGTCCAGATAGACCACAATGTGACCGCCACCCGAGTGAAACTGCTATGATTCAAAGACGCCATTAGAGTGAAGATCCATTGTTTCGCATTTGGTTCCGTTGCGGCAATCAATTGGTCCACCGTCTCACCATATTCTAGCGCCCAAACACATCTAGCCACCGAACACTCGAGCAGTGAGTGTCTCCATGAGTCACTCGAGCCACAGAAGCAACAAGAGGCGGTGGTAGACATATTGCGGTGAGCTCGTACGTCTTCTGTGGGGAGCGATTGTCTTGCTAAACGCCATAAAAACATTCTGATTTTTTCTGGTACCTGAACATGCCAGAGTTGCTTCCACGACTTTTCATCAGAATGCGCATTTGAGGTTCCTACTGCTCCTGGAAGCCATGCTCCCCTGCGGTTCCGTGTCGCCACCATCATTCTGTACACTGAGCGTACTGAAAACTGGCCGTTCCTCTCAAAGTGCCAAGCCCAGTAATCGTCAAAGTTGCGTGTGCAAATTGGGATCGCTAGGATTGCTTCAATATCCATAGGCATAAAAGTTTGCTCAACTTTCCGCATGTCCCATGACACCGTAGCTAAGTTGAAATAATCAGATGCTAGCCTTGGTGGGTTAGCAATTTTGCTTCCATATGACCGGAGCATCTCGTCCCTAGGTATCCAGTTATCCAACCATACATCCGTAGAGTTCCCATTACCAATGCGCTTAATCAGGCCTAGCTTCAGTATATCCACTCCTTTGATAGCTCTCCAAATTTGACTCAGACGGGAACCCAAATCTGCTTGCAAAATCGTTGATTGTGGGAAATACAAACTTTTTAGAATCCGGGCGCTCAAAGAGTTTGGCTGTTGCAGAATCCTCCAACCCTGCTTAGCAAGCATTGCAAGGTTAAAAAGTTCAAAGTCCTTGAAGCCCAAACCATTCATGGCCTTTGGTTGAGTCATCGCCTCCCACGATACCCAACTCGGCTTCCGGTGACCATCTTTGCTGCCCCACCAAAACTTCCTAATTATCATATTAAGATGTTCACAAAGCCCTCGCGGAAGCTTGAAGCAAGACATGGAAAACATAGGTATAGCTTGAGCAACTGATTTTACCAATACTTCCTTGCCTGCTGTAGAGAGTGTCTTTTCAATCCACCCTTGTATCTTGCTCCATAATCTATCTTTCAAAAACTTAAAAGCTCCGTTCTTTGAAGATCCCACATCAGAAGGCATGCCCAAAGATTTCTCATTTAGAGTTTCATTTGGAACTTGGAGGATCTGCTTTATCTCACCTCGAACACTTTCCGGAACACCCTTACTGAAAAATATTGATGATTTACCATAATTGATACGCTGTCTGGTGGCCTGACAGTAGATGTCCAAGACATGGTTAACCTCATCTGCTCCCCCACTATTTGCTTTGAAAAACAACAGGCTGTCATCTGCAAAAAGAAGATGGTTTACATGCGGCACCATGGCTGCCACTTGTATTCCAGCAAGATTTGATGACCCATCTCGAGATTTTAACAGGCACGAAAGGCCCTCTGCTACTAACAAAAACAAGTATGGGGAGATTGGGTCCCCCTGTCTGATGCCTCGTGAAGGAATAAACTGCTCCAATTTCTTACAATTAAACATTACCGAAAATTTCATTGATGTGACCATGCCCATAACAATATCCACCCACCTCTGTGTGAAGCCAAGTTTAATCATGATATCACGGAGATATTCCCACTCCACCCTATCGTATGCTTTCATCATGTCCAATTTCAGAGCACAATGCTGATTCTTTTTGGCCTTATTTCTCTTCATGAAGTGTAAGCATTCATAGGCCGCAATTATGTTATCGGTGATCAGCCTCCCCGGAACAAAAGCAGACTGCTCCGGAGATATAATATCAGGGAGTACCACCTTAAGCCTATTCGAGATCACTTTCGAAGCAATTTTATATAGGACATTGCAAAGACTAATAGGGCGGAATTGAGTTAGCTGGTTTGGATCTTTTACCTTGGGTATCAAAACTAACAAGGTCTCGTTGATGCCTTCTGTTGACTCATTGCCTTCAACTATGCTCAACATCATTTTTGTGACCTCTTCCCCACACACCCCCCAATGCCTCTGGAAGAAATGTGTGGGGAAGCCATCAGGACCCGGAGATTTCATGAGAAACATCTGAAACAGGGCGTCCTTGACCTCTTGCTGTGAATATGGAGCATTCAAGTGGGCATTCATATCCTCCGTTACCTTCCTGGGCACCGTGCCAATCACTCTCTCCATGTCCTGTACTCCCTCAGATATGTATAAGTTTTTATAAAAAGCATTTACCATGTCCTTCATCTCCCCCGTTTCCTCTGTTATACTGCCATCAGGCCGAAGTAGGGCTTTAATCTTATTCTTCCTCCTCCTTCTGCTAGCTCTAAGATGGAAGAAATAAGTGTTTGTCCCCGAGCGATAGCCATTCAGTCCTAGCCCGCTAGCGCCACAAAATCTCTTCTCGATGGTAAAGTTCCACCAATCTGTCCATTACCTTTGTCTCTAGATGTGTTGGCCCGGATCTACCTGGTTGTGAGCGCAAGGTATCTAGGTCCGATTTCAGCTTCTTTATCTCTGCCAAAACTGAGCCAAACTCCGTCCGGTCCCATGCGGTCAAGCCTTTAGAGAGGTTTTTGAGTTTCGCATGCAGCTCCCCTACTGTGACAGCGGAAGATTTATTCCAATTTTCATTCACGAAATCCAAGAAATTCAGGTGTCACTCCCACATAAGTTCATACTTGAACGATCGTGGTCGCACTGCAAAGGCATTGTCATCCGCCAATGTTAGGAGAATAGCTGCATGATCCGAGCTGGCAGTATTTTTGTGCTCTAGTTTTGCTGATGGAAATGCTAAAAACCAGGCAGGTGATGCTACACACCGATCCAACCTTATATGGGTAAAAATGCCCCCCGTGACTCTATTTTCAAACGTCCAAGGATTTCCATGATATCCAATGTCCGCTAAGCCACAAGTATCGAGTGCATCACGGAAGGCATCCATTTGGTGATGATATGGTTAATTTTGAAAACAAAGTGCACACAAATTTCAATACCTGGAAATGCTCTGAATAAGACGGGCATCGGCCCATCTAAGCTACCGGACCGGACCCAGCCACGAGCGTCGGTCGTTTTCTCCCGCAGCGACCCACCCCCGGCTGGACACCCGCAAACCCTCGTCGACTGTTCTCCGCCCGCCGACGAGGCGAACCACTTCGCCGCCGGCGTCTTGGCCCGCTGTCGGCGTTAGCTTCCGCCTCGGGTTCGCCTCCTAAGGCAGCGCCGCCAGTGGCCGTGCTGACTGCAGCGCAGAAGGCGTTCTGCTCCAACCCGGCGCCCCCCTACCGAGGACGCACTCCCAAACCCTCGCCGGCCGCTGTAACTTCTCTTTGCACCACATACCCCCTTCGTCCTTGTCTCCATCCATCTGCACTGAGAGCGAATTAGGGCAATGGAGTTCTCCGTCGAGGAGGAACCGAGGTTAGCACATGACATGGCATGAGTGATTCCTTTGCCTTTATTCCCCATGTTGCTTATTTCATTTTGGCACAGGTCGGGCGCGCCCCTGGCACTCGGGCTCGGGGAGGACGCCATGGAGGCGGTAAGGAGAGCTTTCCCGGGTCAGGATTTTGCTATTGATGTGGTGAACCGAGCTTTCGGTCGGCGGAATCCGGCGGAGCGCAGCCAACAAGATTCCTCTGCCTGTGGTATCAGTGGAGCATGTACATCGGAAAAGCCTATGGATTTGGAGCAGGTGGAGAACGCTGGGAAGAGCTGTGCGCAACAGGATCCCTCTGCCTCAGAAATGCAGTTGAGATCTCAGGAAGTGGAGCAAGCCGGTCAGCGCTGCGATGCCCCTCCCGCACCTGCAGACGTAGGCACTGAAGCCGGCGGGCCTCCCGCACCTGCAGACGTAGGCGCTGAAGCCGGCGGGGGCTGGAACCGCAGGTATGCCAAGGTTGACCTTGAGCCCGCTGCACATTCCATGTCCACTGGATATATTGTTCGTTGTTACTCGTTGTGGAACTACTTGTGGAAGGTCTCTGTGTTCTGTATTCTTCGGTATTACTGTTTATGTTTGTAAGTAGCAAAGTTGATTGGTTGCCACAAACCTTGATGCATATGAAGCCAGGAATACTATTGTATCCTATTTGTTCCGTATCTATCTGACGAATTGCTGCTCAACAAATATCAACAGGCCCACTTGGTTGCCCCCATCCCTAGTGGCTTGAATTCTTTTTAGAAAATTCGATGATGCACACTGATGTAGGATTCTATGGCATTGCAATGAGAAAGTGCTTAGTGCTGTATCAACATGCAACAAAGCCATAACTCTTGCTTCTTATTGGACTCAGGGTTAGGCGAGGCCGTATCCCAGATGAACGGGAACCGGATGCCCAGCGAGTAAGTGCGCTAGAGAAGGCATTGACTGGCTTTGCAGAGAGGCAGACTGATGTTGTTGTTAATCCAACAGTGGGGACCTGCTTCGATTCGATTACAGAGGCATATGATTTTTATAACCTCTATTCCTGGGAAATGGGGTTCGGTATAAGGTACGGCAAGAGCAGGCGGAATACAAAGGGAGGTAAATGCATGCAGGAAATTACTTGCGTTAATGCGGTAAGAATGCGTGTATTTTACTAGTCATCAGTTCCTCAATTGCAGTTGGTCCCGAAACATTATGCAGTGATTATGTTGCTTTCAGGGTAAACCAAATATGGGCGGGAAATCGCGCAGGTGCGAGTGCACAGCACTAATTAGGCTACTCAGAACTGATGACAATGGATGGTATGTCACCCAGCATAGGAAAGTGCATAACCATGCTTTTTCCACTACATATGGAAACAAGGTTCATTGGCCATCTCATAAGCATCTAGATAAGTACACCAGGGATTTGGTTCGTCAGTTAAGGCACAATAATGTTAATTTAGGCGTGTACGATACGATTGCTTCTTTTTTTGGGCGAATGGAGAATGTCCCTTTCAATAAGCGTTCGATCAGGACACTGTGTGGGGAAGTTATCCGTGAGCAAGCTGTTGACGATGCTAGGAAGACCATGGAGACAGCAGCTGCATCTGGAGAAAGACCAGAAAACCATACGGGGGAGGAGACGACATTCAACTGTATGGGCTTAGCCTCAACCACGGTTGGTTCCCCGAATATGCCGGTTGAGCCCCTGAGGTACCCTGAGCAGGACGATACACACAGCAATGCTGAGGCAGGCAGGCTGGCTGATCTGTTGTTAGCTTTTGGGGATTGTCACCTGGTGCTTAAAAGCTGCACCTATGATGATCTCATCAACTCCAACGGTACCATGTCGGGTCTGGAAGAGGCAGTGAAGGCTGTTACACCCCATCTTCAGCAGGGCATTTTTGGTGACCTGTGGTCCAGGGCCCACAATTCTGGAGGCGTCGTGTCAGCTCAGGTGCTGACCATCAAGGACCTGTTCAGATTCACGCGTTGGCTGACAACCACCACGGGCCAGCATAATCTGCGGTGCGTCCAGCAGCGTGCCAAGCTGGTCAATTCTGGGAAGGCTGTCTTAGAGCCCGAGCAGATAGCCCTCCTCCACCTTTATCAGGCTGAGAATGATGAATATTCAGTTAAGATGAACAAACTCCAGGGAGAAAGGGATGCGAAAATTGCCCAATATATGGCAAAAATTGATGAGGCCCGCAAGTCCTTCGAGGTCAGCATTCAAGCTGCAAAGCAGCACTACCCTGTGTCCGCCTCCTATGTCGCTCTGGATAGCAATGAACTCCGCGCGCAGTGCTGGACCATGTATCTCGCCCAATGTCGGAAGGAGGCGAAGGATCTGAACGCGAAGGCCTCAAACATCGTCGAGAAGTATGGGCCAGAGGTCATACAGCGTCACCTATTTGAATTTTGCAGCCAAGAGACAAACCGTCAGGCCCTCCTCAAGTATGCCCAGACCAAGGTCAATAACCTGAAAGAGGCAGGAGATGCCCGTGGAGAAGATACTCTTCATGACTACATGACGCTCCTTGATATTGAAAAGGCTTATGCGCTACTCGCCGCTGAAGAGCAAATAGCCAATTGCCCAGACACTTGTGGGGGCAGTGAGGATGCGGATCGCGGTAATATAAACAATATCATTGCAAGAGGTGAGGCTGCTGATGGTGCTCGAGGTGATGGACAAGATGGGGGTGAAGGTGCATCCGAAGGTCCTCCGAGGCAAAAGCGTCAAAGGAACGACCAAGACTATGTTTGGTGGTGACTCTTATAGCAGGTGATTCACGTTAATCGTAAGAGGATCGTGTGCATGATATGTTTCCTTACCTTGCAAGTTCAAGGTGGGATATGAGGTTCAAATTAGGTTGCAGGAGCATTCATGGGTTCTTAATATACCTCGCTGTGAGGTATATTAAAATTTGTACAATGGTTGCAGTACCATAAACATCCATGTCACGGAAGCTTTCGAGAGGCTGGTGTGGTGTAAGCTATAATTCAGTTGATGTCTTCCCAGGTTAACCTTTTCTAATAGTGACGGCAATCTGTTGGACGCTGACCAAATCAGGAAATACATTGTTACCTCTTTATAGTGCTGTCTGATTCATCATAACATAAATTTCTGTAGTGGGTTAAAAGTTTCTGCAAGAGTTAAATTTCTGTAGAGGGTTAAAAGTTTCTGCAAGAGTTAAATTTCTTGGCAAGATGCTCCAACGATTTGCATTTCATCGTTATCTTTTTGGGATTGAATTTGTGAGGTAGTTAGTGATCTCTCTTTTGTACACAAAATGAAGCTGGGGAGATCGGTGGAGAATGCTTACAAAATGTACCAAAACAGTGTTAAGATATACTTCCCGTTTCCACAATGTAGTGCATATTAGGTTTTACGAAAAAAAATCAAACTTATCTATGCTTGACCAAGTTTACAAAAAGAAAATATTAGCATGCAAAATCCAATCCAGAGATTAACGACCAAGTTGAAACTGAGACAAGAGTTGTCAGAGCGACCTTTACTCCCGCAACAAGATTTAAGAGAATCCTAAGCAACAAAAAGTGCAGAGCCTATCTATCTATACCAATATAAAAAACCCCAAAGAAACTGATCCAACAGATCTAGGCCATCCATTCACGTCAATCCAACAATCATTATTGTTCTAATGGTGAGCAACTAAACATGTTTAGCGCTAATCAATCCCCTTCCTTTCCCAGAGGCCACGGCCACGACCCCTTCCTTTCCCAGAGGCCACGGCCACGACCCCTTCCTTTCCCACGGCACAAAAGGAAACTAGCAAGTAACCGTCAACTCCGCCTCGCCGCCGCCCCAATCGCCTCGAGCCGCCGCATATTCAGGACACCGCCCCCATTTGCACCGAGCCGCCGCACCTTCAGGACACCACCCTCACCGCCTCCACCCGCCACACCTTCAAGGACGCTGCCCCTTATATCTCCATGCCGCCCCGACTCATCGCCTTGCCTAGCCTTGGCCAACGCCGCCGCCTCCATTTCCTCCACCCACCGCACCTTCAAGGATGCCTCCCCTCACATCTCCGTGCCGTCCAACCCATCGCCTCGCCTAGCCTCGGCCGCCGCCGCCTCCTACATCGCCTGGCCGGCCGTAGGGGACGCCACCTCCTACACCGCTCGGGCGGCCGTCGGGACGCCTCCTACACCATCGGGCCATCGGGGATGTCGCCTAAGCCGCCTGGCCGTTCGACGAGGACGCCTCCTAAACCGCCATCAGTTCACATGTTCCCGTCATCTCACACTGTCAGGGTACGCGCGCGCCACATGCGGACGCTGGCCCGGGGGTCTCTCATCTTTGCTTCCTTTCGTTCACCTTTTTTTCAGTGACATGCTGCTTCAGATTTGGTAGATTGATTAAGTGTGCTAACTGTTTTGGCATACTCCCTCCGTTTCAAAATATAATGCGCTCGCGCTTTCCGAGGTCGAACTTTGACTATAAATTTAACGAACGAGACCGACTGCGACGGGAAAAAAAGGTTACATAATTAAAAACTTCTTTCGAATACGAATTCACTGATATAACTTTTGCTCCCGTCGCAATCGGTCTTGATAGTTAAATTTACGGTCAAAGTTGAAGCACGGGGATAGAGGAAGCACTACATTGTAGAATGGAGGGAGTATATGATATATTGATTAATGTGCATCCAATCAGTGCGCTAATAGGGATATTTCTGCAGTGGCTGATAAACTGTTTCACTTACCTCAGTTTGTCACGGTTTCTAAACAGATAAAATCGGAAAGCAGCCCTTATACACTTGATAAATCTAAAGACAAATCAAGCTTCTTAACAGAGATTAGAAAACTCTTCGATCGGTGATTTCAATGCATAGATTCAGAAGTTAAGCTTCACTATTAATGTCATTTTTGCATTGCTTGATCAATCACCCATATTCATGATCATACTAAACAAAAACAAATCTTAAGATTACACGTGCGTTGCACGCGCGCATTTACTGGTAAGCATCGAATGATTGAGTATCACCGAGAATTTGATTGAATGCTAACTTAGACTTGTTACTCTTGAGGATTGTGCATCCTTCTAATGGTTAGGAATAGTTCAAAGAGAATCCAGCGTAAGGAATCATCGATGAACAAATTTGTAATGGTCCGGAGATCACCACAAGATCTAATGAGTGATTGAGCGAGTTTCGATGAACTTAGCACAAGAAGAACAAGGCGAGCTGTGGCTTAGGCTCTCCAACCCAGATGTAGCTGGGGCACTGGCGTAGCCAGATCGAGCCGGGCCTCTGGCAAGCTCCAGGCCGAACACGCGTTGCAGTGCTAAACACTGTCGAAATTGCTAGTACCAATATAAAAAGACCCAAATAGACTGATCCAGTAGATCTTGGCCATCCATTCACGTTAATCCAACAATCATTATTGTCCTAATGGTGAGCGACTAAATATGTTTAGTGCTAATCAATCCCCTTCCTTTCCCATAGGCCACGACCACGACCACTTTCTTTCCCACAACCCCTTCCTTGATTCCTTTCCTTTCCAACGACCCCCTCCTTTCGTATGAAAGGAAACTAGCAAGGAACTGTCAACTCCGCCTTGCCGCCGCCCCAATCGCCTCGAGCCGCCGCATATTCAGGACACCACCCCCATTGCACCGAGCCGCCGCACCTTCAGGACACCGCCCCCATCGCCTCCACTCGCCGCACCTTCAAGGACACTGCCCCTTATATCTCCATCCCGCCCCACTCATCGCCTTGCCTAGCCTTGGCCGACGTCGCCGCCTCCATCTCCTCCACCCACCGCACCTTCAAGGATGCGTCCCCTCATATCTTTGTGCCATCCAACCCATCGCCTGGCCTGGCCTCGGCGGCCACCACCCCCTACACCGCCTGGCCGGCCGTCGGGGACGCCACCTCCTACACCCCCCGGGCGGCCGCCGGGGACGCCTCCTACACCATCAGGCCATCGGGGATGTCGCCTAAGCCGCCTGGCTGTTCGACGAGGACGCCTCCTAAACTGCCATCAGTTCACATGTCTCCGTCATCTCGCACTGTCAGGGTACGCGCGCGCCACATGCGGACGCTGGCCCAGGGGTCTCTCATCTTTGCTTCCTTTCGTTCACCTTTTTTTCAGTGACATGCTGCTTCAGATTTGGTAGATTGATTAAGTGTGCTAAGAGAATCTCCAGCCGCCCCCCAGGATGCCCCCACTAGCACTTTTTGGACGCCGGCGCCTAATTTTTCTCCCAGCCGGGACCCCAAGACCACAGTTTTCGCCGGATTTAGCCAAAATTAGCGCCGGCGCGCGCAGGCGAAACCCAACCTACCGGGGGGCTCTTGGGGGAGGAGAGAGAAGGCTTTCATGTCTTTTGGTCCACAGTCAGCCTCTCTTCACCCTTGTTCTCCGGGCCCCACCCACATGCACTCTCTCTTTTCCTTCTCACCTCCACGCGCGCCTGCCTCGCCGCCTTGCTCTTCTCCTAGCCGCGTGCCTGCCTCGCCGCCTTGCTCCTCTCCTCGCCGCGCGCCTGCCTCACTGCACTCGCTGTCCAAGGCCCCACCTGCCTCGTTGCACTCGGGAGGGAGGGGAAGACGCCACCGCCGCCACGCGCTCTAGACGAGTACGAGGCCGCTGCGTGGCCGGGGCGGAGCTCGCCCGCGTCCGCCTCTACATGGCCACGGAACACCGCCACCCTCGCCTCGCCAGGCTCGAGCCGCTGGCGCGAGCTGCTCGGGCGTCCACGGGCACCGCGTCGGACCTCTCTCCTCCCAAGACGAAGCGCGCCCGCCTGGTCGCTGCTCCGGCTGGCCATTCCTCTGGTGCTGGTAGTCGGGCGGCGTGACATGCTGCTGGTCGTGGCGCGGGGCTGCGGCTCCCGGCGGAGGCCCGGGGAGGGAAGTGCTCCCACATGGCAGCCGCGTCGGCGTGGAAAGAGCCGTGAGCGGAGACCGGGGAGTGCCGAGGAGCGGTAGCTTTCTTGGCTTCGCGACCGAGATGAGGGGGTGGTTGCTGGGGCGGCCGCGCGGGAGGTCGTCGTCGTCCATGCAGGGGAGGTCGTCGTGGACGAGCGACAAGGCTCGTGGGGGGCACAACTAGTGGGAAAATTTTCGCCCCCAGGGCAAAAATTACGCCAGCGCCCCCCCAAGCGACAAAAAATATGCCTCCTGGGGGCCAACGGCTGGAAATGCTCTAACTGTTTTGTCATATATGATATATTGATTTATGTGCATCCAATCAGTGTGCTGTAGGGATATTTCTCCAGTGGCTGATAAACTGTTTCACTTGCCTCATTTTGCCACGGTTTCTAAACAGGATAAAATCGGAAAGCAACCCTTATACACTTGATAAATCTGAAGACAAATCAAGCTTCTTAACAGAGATTAGAAAACTCTTCGATCAGTGATTTCAATGCATACATTAATTCAGAAGTTAAGCTTCACTATTAATGTCATTTTGCATTGCTTGATCGATCACCCATATTCATGATCATACTAAACAAAAACAAATCTTAAGATTACACGTGCGTTGCACGCGTGCATTTACTAGTAAGCGTCAAATGATTGAATATCACCGAGAATTTGATTGAATGCTAACTTAGACTTGTTACTCTTGAGGATTGTGCATCCTTCTGATGGTTAGGAATCGTTCAAAGAGAATCCAATGTCGTCGATGAACAAATTTGTAATGGTCCGGAGATCAACACAAGATCTAATGAGTGATTGAGCAAGTTTCGATGAACTTAGCACAAGAAGAACAAGGCGAGCTGTGGCTTAGGCTCTCCAACCC